TGCTAAAGCCATACTTAGTGACAGTCAGATACTTCACAACCACTGAACTTCGAAATTTGGCAACCTGATAGGCAAATCCATCTATCACTTTTCTTAACATGTCATGGACTGACTTACTTGCTGCTGCTGTGATGGCTAATAAACCAAACTTCTCCTGACAAGTACATAGTTTTTCTACAGCGATAATGAAGTGCAAATCTGACAAGTGCTTCAAGACTACAAAAGGGATCTTAGAAAATTAAGGGTCTGGCTTTAATATCCATTTTTATACGCACAATTCTAAAAAGATACTACAGTATGGAAAGAAAATGTGTGTTGCTGGGAATAAAACAAGTCATAAGAGAGCACATTCTGATCTAAATTAGTTTTAGTACAGGAAAGATATTTATTGCTTTTATTCTTGTCAGTGCAAGAACCTTATCACTAACCTGATCATACACTAGACTACTAAATAGAGATTTCAGTGCCTTGTATGTAACAACTATGAAAAGCTATCCTATTTCTTTTTATGGTAACTAGTAGAGTTAAAAACCATCACTAAAATTATGCCGGCACTGTAATTAATGTCCTGAAAGAGAGATTACATAGATAGAGCTCTTCCCTGTCCCTAAGACATACCACACACTGAAAGACCATCCAAAGTTTTCCCTTAAAATATAAGTCAGAGGACAAAAACTGAAAATCAAAAAGTAAGGGAGATCCATTTTTAACAGGTTAAAAAAAGGGCTGAACAAATTAAAGGACCTTAAAGTGAATAATCACAGGAAAACGTCACCGTAACTTTGGTTTTACAACAAAGACTGGAGAATTCATTTTAACAGAATATAATTGAGAAATCTGGTAGCAACTGAAAGAGATTGTATTTGGAGTGAAAGAGGACATATTTTTACGATAGCACTTATTACTGTGATTCCTAGAACATTTATGTGCCCACACAATAACCTCAAAGTATATCATAGTCTAAAATTATTTTACGTTTTCTAGTACATCATCACCAGTTGTGGTCTGTTTGCATAACATCCATGAAACAAAAACATGGTGAAAAATAATAGTTTTATACCAGCTCCATTTCATTTAAGAAATACTGCTTTAAAATTTCAAATCTATTACACAAAAATTAGGGGTTTTTAATTCTAAGGTTTGTTTAAAAACAAAGTTTCTGAAACAAAAATACTGTCTTATGAAAAAAAAAAGTTAAAATATAAAATGACAAATAGTGAAACAGATTCTTACCAATATTCAGTAAGCTTAGATAACTGTAAGATATACTGATATGCTAATTAGTAATTTAAGGCCTGAGAAAAGAGTTTCAGAGGGAAATACACAGAAGCATGATTGAGTTTAATATGCATCTACATTAGCTACAGGGCATAATTAAAACTACATCAGTCTCTTAAATCTACATAATTATGTCCCAAAGATACTTTCTCTTCAGTTGCCTCAACTTTACTAATAAACCAGTAAGGACCTTGGGTTTAAAAGGTCAGGAAATACTGTTTTAAAGTAAAATACATGCACTAATGTCCATAATTACAACATGGCATGTTATTTTAACAACAGCAATTCCATACTACTATTTAACTGTAAATCCTAATAAAATTCACTAACTGATGCCAACAACTTTAAACTATTCTGATGTGATCTCACGATGCTTAATTAAACAGGAAGCAAACAGCTATCTCTTCTTCTAATTAGATGAGCTAATTCTCTGCAGTCTCTCCAGAATGACTGTGTCCACAACACTAAACAGAAGCAACACTGAAAGCGCTGTTAGTGACTTTCCTCTCGCCACAGGCCAGGATTATATGTTTACAGACACTGCTAATAGTCTCTACATTTGACAAATCTTATCTCAGCTCCTTCCTATGACTTAGCAGAATTCAACAGGACTCTGCAAAAAGTTATTCATGTTTGATCACAGAACCACAGAATCATTTAGGTTGGAAAAGACCTTTCAGATCATCGAGTCCAACTGTAAACCCAACACTGCCAAGTCCACCATTAAATCATGTCCCTAAACGCGATACTTCTTGGAATACAAATGCAACCCCTGTGAGCCTGCTTTCTCAGTCCTTCCACTTCCAGAATCCATTACAGATCTCTTTCCTACTGCTTTGATCATTAGGTACACAAAACAACCTGAAGAAATCAAACCTGATGATTGATTCACTGCCATAAAGCTGATTTCTGGAAACTTAGCATAACTAACATGAGTTCAGACTACTGGTATTTTTAACTTGGTTTTCAGTGTATCACTCTGGCAAAGGCTGTTCAGCTCCCAACAACTGGCATCTTGGTCGAGTCACTTCATAATTTTGCACAAATTCTCTATTTCATAGACCTGGCTGTTCAGACAAATGCCACAAAGGACTACACTGGAAACAAACAAAGAATCAAAACCAACAACAAGCCCCAAACCAAAACCACACAAAAGAACTTGAAAATAGTGAATGCAAAGTCCTTTTCTTTAGCATTTGGAGTTAAAATTAAAATTAAATATTATTTTTTACTTCAAGTCTATGTGTCTAGGATGCACTTGAACCACTTACTGCCTTGAAATTCCTATAAAAATTCCACATTATTGTTTTTTGCTTCAAAATTGCATTTAAAGAAAAGGTTTAATGTAAATTCAATAGTAAGTTTGGGAATCGAAATGAGTCACGTAAATGAAAATGCATTTTCATGTTTCTTCTGACAATTAAATCACTTTTAGCCTGCTATTAAAGCAATTTCAAGAGCTAACTTTGTAGAATACAAAAAACATTTGGAAACATATCACAGAATTATTTTTACTTTCTTTATGCTCAGTTATACTAGGTAAGCACAGCCATTGAACATATAATAAAGTTATGAACAGAATGTCATTTTGACAATACAGAATAAAAGTTATTCACTCAAAATCTTTTAAACCCACTAGTTCTATCTCACTACAACTGGAATATGAAATGATAATTTCCAAATAATGAAAGAAAAATACAGATAGTGAGTGGTTCTACTGAAGCTAATTTTCACAGTCACTGGTGGAAGGAAAAAAGAATTCTGTTTCATTTTATGATTAAGTTTAACACAAAAATACAATTTAATCAAGAACTTGACTGTCTAGTCCCCTGATAACCAATGAAAGCAAGGGCAATATGCTTAACTATATTAATGCTTTGTTACCATGACATACTCTTCCACTTCTACAGAATTCAGGGGGATAAGATTCTACAGGTAATATATGCTGCACTTTTATTACATTTTTTTATATCCTAGAAGAAAGCAAACATTTTCTTTAAGTTCTATAGTAGCCTTTATACATCTGAGGAGAATTCAAGCCTGGGCATCTATTTGCATTACAGTACTACTGATGTACAACTAAAAAAAGATCAGATCATCTGTAAAGAGGAATTTCATTTATATTTATATCTTTATCACTTATATGTTAAATATTGTGGCTTGCTGTTCAACATGTCACTCTAGGCTGCAGATTTGTATAGTTTAAATAATTCAAGAATAAAAGTAGCAAATGACATTCAATTAGAGAATTATAATTAAAAATGTGACAGAATAAAGATCCTTTGCTGATTTATTAATCAGAATATGTTCCCAAAATACGAGGCACCATTACCTGATATAAAGGGGGCAATATAATTGTATAGACTTACAAAGCATTATAGGATAAGCATTTCTAATTTACATCTGTTTACCTATACATGTAACCTACATGTATAGGTTACATCTGTTTATTCTTTATGATCTTGTCTCCCTCTAGTGGGTAGCCCTCACAAAAATGTACTTCTACCTATATTCAGACCTGTATGCAGAATCACATGATAATTCAGGCTGGAAAGGACCTCAGGAGGTCTCTAGTCCAGCCCTGTATGAAACACAGGACAAACAACTTGCCAGCCATATACTGCATCAATATGCAAAGGAATACATCTCCTACTCTGTTAAGAAGTGAAGAAGCTTTGGAATGAAGGTACATCCCAGTGAAATAGATCCAGTGATTTGATTTTCCTGGCTCTTCCATTTCTGTTACACATGATCTTAGGAGGTCATGATTCATTGTAGCCAGTATTACTTTTTGTCCTGTATCTCTATAAAAAGCCATGTCCCAGAGAACCTAAGCTACCAAAACATAGTGTAGCAAACACTCCCAAATACTTCATAGTACTGTGGAAAGATGAGATCTCACAATGTTAAATGCAAAGGATCAGAGTCCAAACAAAACCGATACAAGGTCCGAAACATCTGCTCTAACACATACCACAGGTCAGGCAGAGCCGGATGAGAAAGGAAGCCTGTATGATTCTGTCTAGGCTGTTCAAGGTAAGGAGCAGGTCACAAACCTCCAAAAATTAGCATACATTTTTCATGCTTTCAAAGAGATATCACATGTATGTTACACTTTCCTCACTGAAAATACTCTCAAAAATATTTGCAAGGGTTAGGCCAAAGACTGATATGTCAACAATACTGCCCATTGCACTGAACAGCATTTTCTCACTTTGTCCTTGAACATATTCTTCTGTCTTGGTCCATCTCTAGTTTCTTCTTTTATTCTTAGACTGTAAATTTGCTAAGGCAAGCTCACCTCACACACAGCTGTCCTATTATTTTTTTTTTTTTAAATTAACCAACAAAAAAGGCTAACCTTGCCTTTCACATAGCACTGTTTGTGGTCACTTACCTGCTTGGTGAATTAATTTATTCATGTATTACCTGTATTTCATAAAGGACATCTGTTTTCTAGTGATTTAGTGATAAAGTAAGATTTTTCTACTCCTTATCTCTAAAAAGCCTTTTTGCAACTTGCCTTTTTCCCCACATGCTTCAGGAGCAAAATAAATAAAATCATAAGCAAAGAGATTAAAAAAAAAAACCCACCTTTAAAAGACATTACTGTGTCTTTTGCCCAATTATCTACTTTAAGAAGCATCCATCCAAATATGTAGCACAATTACACATTAACTACATCTTCACATATTTAGATATTTTTTCATTTGTTAAATTACCTTGTCTGCATCCACTTTTCCTCTGATAAATTCTTTTTTCCAAAATTCCAGTGCCTGTTCCAGAGTCAAGCCGATGCCTTTTAAGAACAGTCCGTATTGCATACGGCCTCCGTGACGGAGATGATGGTTATCACGCAGGGCTTTGTGCAACTGGCGCATGCAAAGAGGGAATGATTTCACAGAAAGCTGTCAAGAGAAAAAGCTGTGTTTAAAACTTACTGATCATTTAATTTGTAGGATACATGCTTATTGTGATTATTGAAAATGCCAATGGCTGGAAGAAAAGATATGCATGTGCAGAGCACCATGGGACTGATGACTACACAAGTGTGTCTGTAAAGTGTAAACCATCAAATCCAATAACTATCTCAAGAACAAAATCCAAAAGACAGTAATACAGGTGGTAGTATGGGACTGTCTTCAGCTACAGAATAACAGATGCTTAATTGCTGTCTGGAAAAATATATCCACAGTTCCATTACAATATTTCTTGCTTCTTCCTTATTTTAGCTTCTGGAAGGGCAAGGTGACCTTTGTTAAGAGTTTTTAGGGGTTGGGTTTTTTTCAAACATCTTTGGAAAAAACACAAGCAGGAGTAAAATCCACTGCAACTGATCTGCAGGTGTTTTCCCTGAAGAATACTATTTCTTTTAAAGCCAGATCACAGACATAAAAAAAAAAAAAAGTAACATTTACGTTTACTTGGGCTTCACTTTTTTTTTTTTTTAACATCTGAGTAATACTATGGAATTCACTACCAAAGGAACACTGTCACGGTTAAGATGGACAGTGAAAACAAAACTATTTCTAAAGCTCAGATAAAGGAATGATAATGTGTTCTTAATTGCCTCTGCACCACTGATGGGGGTTCACAATCCACTTTATTTACTTCCTTATTTTGAAAAACCCTTCTGTAAATCAAAAGTCCAAAAAAGAGCACTGAAAAAACTAATACTGCAATGCAATAATCATAAACTAAACATCATGGTTTGCAAAATTATTAAATAAGAAAATTTCGTTAAACTCTGTTTATAATTATGTTAGGCATTTGTGAAAGTACACAAAATTAAGCAGCAAATTAAGCAATTCATTATAGCTCCAGTTTGAATCCTGATTAGATGCATTTTCAGTTAATTCTGCTCCATTTTAAACATTATCACAATTTCATTCAAGTAGTTCTCAAGAGTTACAAAGCAAATATGAATCAAAAAAAGACAAAGGTTTTATATGTTGTCTGCACGTAGAGTACTTGAATTTAAAAAGCTACATATCAACATACAATATAACCCAATAAACACAGAGGACTTACAGTATCGATCTGTTCTAGAGAAAGTCTTCCAGCGTTCTTTTGCACGCTGTAATCTGGGCCCACGTAAGAATGGCTGAAAAACAAAGCAAACCGTACAGTATAATTTTAAATTGTTCAAAAACCTTTTTTTTTTAAGTTTAAAAATTTAGAAATAAATTATTTTACCAATTCAGGGCTGCAAATATTTTATATCAGGCAAAACCAAGAAAATAGTATTGGACAGTTATGTAAGTAATCAAGATTTATAAAACCAACATTAGAGTCAACATAGTAAAGAAATCCTCCCTCCCTTTATTTGAATGGAGTGGCAAGGGGTCATTCAGAACTCAGATCACAGGATCACGCTACTGTTGAAGTTGAGAGAGACCTCTGAAGATCTTCTAGTCCAACCCCTTGTTCAAAACAGTTAACTACAGCAGGTTGCTTAGCATCTCATCGAGCTGGGTTCCTGTCCATTCATTTCTCCAACCTGTCCAAGTCCATCTGAAAGGCATCACACCCATGTGGTGTAAATCATTCCTCCTAGTTTTGTATCATCTGAAGCTTGCTGAGTTTGCACGCTGTCCCATCACCCAGGACATTAAAAAAGAAGCTAAACACTACAGGACCACTGATCTCTGAGGTACTCCACTAGTGATTGGCCTCCAGCTGGTCTCACTGCCTCTGAGCACAAACCTTTTGAGCACAGCACTTCAGCCAGTTTTCAGTCCACCTCACTGTCTATTTAGCTAACCCATACTTCATTCGTTGTTGATGAGAATGTTACAAAAGACAGTGTCAAAAACCCTGCTAAAGTCAAGGTAAACGACATCCACTGCTTTCCCTTCCATCTATTGAGCCTTCTATGATAAAATGACCAGCTATGAGGTTAGTCAAGCATAATTTCCCATTCACAAACCCATGCTGACCACTCGGCATATTGGTCCAAAAACCAGTCTGCAAAGTCTGGGTAAGAACAGATTTCTTTATGCAAGAGGAATTTCACAACTAACTTACAAAGATAATTTCTTAAGTCTTTTGAAGGTACACAGAGGTTAGCTCCAGGAAAAAGGAATTTAACTAAACGAGAATACTAGGTGCTACAGATTATTTTATGACATTTCAATACTGTAAAGTGCAAAAAGCATAGAGCTAAGAGTTCATTTTACTACAGTACAAACAGTTTAATTCTACGCGCATTCATTTGTTCTTTAATCTTACTTCTGACACACACTGGAGCACTAGGCAAGCTTACTGTACTTAATAGTTTTTTTTTCATTACACAACAATGGATAAATAATTAAAAGTATTTGACCTGTGTATATCTATTACTACTAATACTACTAAAGTAGTATCTAAATTTCCTTGTTGAAACAGATCTGCATCACTTTACTAATGAAAACTACAAACAAAACAAAAATCACAGTCTCAAAAATATTACAATTGAAGCACAGAACAATAGAAAACAGCTGTTGCTTAAGCAACTTTAAAAAAAAATTAGGAAAAGGACCACTCAGTTATCACATCCCAGGATCAGTACTGGTAACTTCTTGAGCTGCTCTACCGTAATCACTTTAGATCACCTGCTCATATACTATAGTATTTATTAGAATCATACTGATACTGCAAAAAATTGCTAAGATAAAGAAAATCACTTCTTTGTAGCATTTGTAGAAAGGATTGGCCTGGGAAGAGGAGGTCCAAAGAGCAGACACAAAAGTTTTCCTATACAGTAAGTGAACAAAATAAGACTTCAGAAGTTACTGCTAAAAAGAGGACATACTCTCTGAATCTCGCTGACCATTACATCTGGATTTGATAGAAAACTTTATTATGAGGACAGAAAACTCAAGCCAAGGTGGGGGAGAAGAAGAAATTCTACTTTTCATACCCCAGAAAGTAAAAATATTCTCAGTAGGGTAAGCAAATAGGAAAAGTTTTTCATAAATGTTTCCTTATTTTTACTTTAAAAAGTAGCATATGAGCTTTACAAGGACAAATTTTTTTAACACCTGACACCACTCACCAAAGAGCTGAACCAAACAAACTGCCTTCAGAGGTGGTGCTCTGAAAAACAGCATGCTGTATCCATCCAGAATATGTTGTAGATTGGAGCCAGGCATAAAGAGGCCAGCACTAGTCATGTGGCTCTTATTTTGGACTAATCCTTTCTTTTATTCCACATAGCTTCTGACATTACTTCCTCATCAAGACTCTTACTCACCTACAAATATCTACAGTTCTTCATAATTTCTTTTTGTAATTTACTGGAATGCAAACAGCAATGTCTTCACTTTTCACTTAAAAACCAGTTTTATTTTACCTTCACATATAAATTCCTGTCTCTCTCCATTCAGCCTGACTCAATCACTCGAAATTAATTTTTCTAAAATCCAAAACCTCATTTACCAAAAGTTTTCTAAACCTATATTGCAACTAAAGATCAATGCATTCATTCACACTGTTGTTGACCAAGAAAGAAACCTCCACTACATTGACGTTTCCAAGAATGGGATCTAAGTCTTTCAAATAAACAGCTGTAGGACTGTTCTGATAAACACCGCAGTATTCACAGATGTGTTGGTATATCATGACATTTAATGAGGATATGAAGGGCACTTTGTGGATGCTGAGGACAGTAAATGACACCAGTCTATTAAGGTGTGCATTCCTCTTTACTCGCTTGTGAGATGAGCATAAGTGAGAAGGAGGATGAACATGTCTGCATGAGTATTGTGTTATCCATTAAAAAAATACAGGCTTGAAAAATACTTGGTTTCTGTATCAATATTATGAACTATCATTTGAAGACATAATTGATAAAATCATATAAATGTTGGTTGTAAAAGATGTGAGAAGACCATTTAATCCCATACCCCAAGCTAAGTGGGACTACTGTTAACACTAGTCAGGTGAGCCATGGCTTTTTCTGTCTGAATCCTAAAGATCTCCACAAACCAAGATTCCACATCTCTGGGCAATTGGCTGCGCTATCATTCTAGCACAGATATTTTTCCTAATGTCTGATCTAAATCTCCTAAACCGCTATATGTGACCACTGTCATTTGTTACAGCCTCTGGCACCATCAAGAATTCCAACACTGTGATGTTTATTCTTCAAACAGTTGTAGGCTGCTATTTGATCATCCCTAAGCCTCTTCTTCAACAGACTAAACAAAGTCATCTCAGCTTCTCCTTGTAATTCATGTACAGGCACAGCCCTATAGTAGTTTGATGGGATTACATACAAC